ATTCAAATTCGAGATCGCTTAACTATGCTTAGAATCATAAGCATAATAATTTTGCAAAAGGTATGGGAATAATTTGAAAATTAATTTCAAAATTATTAATATTAGTGCAAGCTAGTGTAAGCATGTAAATGCATATTTGTGCACTGATTCGATACTCTTTTTTGGAAATTGTACTTTATCTTAAATTTCGAATGCAAATTTTTTGAATATGTGTATTGAAACTGTAACCTTTTGTCTAAGTTGCATTCTAATATAGCTCGAATTCTAAAAATGGGACTTTACTCCTCTTTCTTTGAGAAAATTTTAGACAATAGCCAAATTGCTAATTTTGTTGGAGTAATACCTGCATTGGGAGGTATAATATATTGTTCAGGGTTGAAACAAGGAGGTAGTTAGTGATAAAGCATAGTTACCACATGAAATGCAGTAAAATTTTGAGTCTAAACGTCTTTTAAACCATCAAGTATAAATTATAGAAAAAGATACTTTATATATAGTTAAAATAAAAATGATTAGAAAATAGCGTTTTTGATCAAAATTTCAAATTTTTATTTCCGAATATCTCTATTTGTGTCTAATTAGAGACATTTCTATAATTTTAGTGCACAGCATATGCAATTCCTCTTTGGTTATTGCATTAATTTCTCAAAAAGAAAAAAGTCTTCAATAATTTTTTCAACAATACAGTACTAAAGCTAAGAACTTCTAAACACATGAAAAGTTATATCATTCTCGTTAATATGTAGATTATCAATGAAAAGAATATTGTGAAATTTGAATCTTTTTTAATTTTGCGGTATCATATTTTTGGAAAATCTTTATGAATATTATATAAAAAGTCTCTTTAATATCTATATTTCATATTTTTATCGATTTTTAAAGTTTTTGCGAAAAGTATTCAATTATTTTTGCTATTTGGTCGGGTAAATGTCAGATTTGCGACATTTTCTGATATGATATTCAGATTCTACGTTGATAATAATGCTTATAGAACCCTCTTGCTATTGTGTCAAAATTGCGAAACCGATAGCAAAAATATCTCGCAATATCAAAATTGAGATATTGAGTGAATTATGCATTATAGAGATTAAAAATCTGATTTGTGAAAACATCTCATCAGTTTCTAGCTAATTCAAAAATCTTTACTATCTTATTCGATTAAAATGAAAAGGGAATAGTTTCATTATGCTTTAAATGACAGCCTTATAATATAATCATAGTTTTCGCTCGATATGCAGCATTTTTTTTTCGAAATCTATGGTCAATGTCCTAAATACTGATTGCTTTGCATTCATATCTCTTACATTTTCTATACCCACATCACTTTTCATTGCTATTCCTATCTTTTTCATTTTTGTTTGTTTCTCATAATTTCTCAAAAAACATGATAACTTGATATTTGTAAATATCATACTTTATAACGTAAATAAGAACTTGACCTGTAATAAACAGAAATTCATCAAAAGTGACAGCTCTCAATTTTTTGACATTTGTAAATTCTAAATTGAATGAGAAAAATGAAATAATACTAAGCATAATACAATATTCTAGATTTAAAAAAAAAAAAAAAAAAAAAAAAAAGGTAGTGGGGCTTCCAGGCACTTCGTGCCTTCTAGCCCTGAAGATGTTTAGTATAAATGAAGTTTTTATTCGGAGGGCTTCCAGCCCATAAGAAATTTTTCCCAAGACCCAAGAGGAGGACCGAACCCCAGCCGACCAGCCGTTGACTTTTTTGTCATGATTTCATCGTAAATGTTTTGTCATGATTTCATCGTAAATGTTTTGTCATGATTTCATCGTAAATGTTTTGTCAAGACTTCTTCGTAAATGTTTTGTCAAGACTTCTTCGTAAATGTTTTGTCAAGACTTCTTCGTAATGAGCGTAAATGACCCAAAAATAATGTTTATGTTAGAATGTTAGATCTAACACGTTTTCTAACATGTTTTCTAACATCGTAGAAAACTCATGATTTCTTCGTAAATGTTTTGTCGAAACTTCTTCATCGTAAATGTTTTGTCATGAATTTCATCGTAAATGTTTTGTCAAGACTTCATCGTAAATGTTTTGTCAAGACTTCTTCGTAATGAGCGTAAATGACCCAAAAATAATGTTTATGTTAGAATGTTAGATCTAACACGTTTTCTAACATGTTTTCTAACATCGTAGAAAACTCATGATTTCTTCGTATATGTTTTGTCGAAACTTCTTCATCGTATATGTTTTGTCAAGACTTCTTCGTAATGAGCGTAAAGGACCCAAAAATATAATTTAGGGTAGAAGGTTAGATCTAACATTCTAACATAACATTATTTTTTGGTGTAAATTTCATGATTTTCAAGAGTTTTCTACGATGTTAGAAAACATGTTAGAAAACATGTTAGATCTAACATTCTAACATAAAATATATTTTTGGTGTAAATTTCATGATTTTCGAGAGGGTAGAAAACTCATGATTTCTTCGTAAATGTTTTGTCATGACTTCTTCGTAAATGCTTTGTCACTTTTCTGTCACTTTTTCGGGTAAAAACATTTTTATTATTATATATAAATGAATTTTACAAAACCACCGTTACCCTTCTTTGGAAATAAGAGTAGATGTAAAGATATTCTATTGAGAGAACTTAAGAAACTACCGAATGGTCTAACATTTGTAGATTTGTTCGGTGGAAGTTTCTATATATCTCATTTATGTCATACAATATTCCCAGACTCAAAGATTATATGCAATGACTTCGACAACTATATGGACCGTCTCAAACATATACCAGACACAAACAATATATTGAAAGAGTTAAAAGAAAAGATACCTATAGGTAAGATGGAACGTATACCATTAGATAAGAAAAATATTGTGAGAGAGGTTTTGAAAAAAGCAGAATATATAGACTGGGATAGTATATCTGCTAGACTATTATATAGTGGTTCTATAAGAGTTCATGACATTGAAACACTTATGTCAAAAGTTTTATATCTTAACTATACAAATGTTTTCAAAGAGGACATAGAAAAATATATTGAGGGTATAGAGTTTTGAGATGTCATTGGACAGAGTTGTATGAAAAATATAAAAAACAAGGAAAATGTTTTCTTTATAGTGGACCCGCCGTTCTTTAACACATGGGATTTTCAATACCAAGTAGACTGGACTTTGAGAGACTCTTTAGAAACTTTAGACGTTTTACATAACCATCCATGCTTTTTACTTTACATCCGATAAAAGTGGTTTGGAAACCGTTATGAGATGGTTAGAGGACATACATGACTATGAGTTTAGATATGACAAGATAGAATATGAGAGAGGTCCTATAAACTGGAGAAAGTGTCACAATAAAGAAATTTTATTAGTAAGTAAATGTGGTTTGAAATAGGACTACTTTTGTTTTTAGGTTTTTTCCATTGTGTCATTTATTTATTTGACGTGGCAGAAAAGTACAGAGAATATGAAGATGAACCAATGCCTGCAAATGTTCAGTATATGTACTCGTAAGAGATATTTTTATCTAATATTAAATGGACGCACAGAACTTAGCGAATGCACAGCAACCTGGACAACCAAACCCAGAGAATATTCCAAATGAAGTTAGAATACAAACTGCAATGGCAAACTATGGTCAAGTGCCAACAGATGTACAAATGCAAACTGCCATGTCAAATGACGCTGCGTTAGGTTTGCCACCATGGTATGCAAATATGAGATGGAAAGAGTTTTATACAAACCCTGAAGTGGGATATAAACAACTTTATGCAGATGACGCGAACACAGGAGTTGACCAGAATATGTTTTCTACCAGAGGAGAAACAGAATGTATGAGCTCCAGTTAAAGAATGCTATGGAACTCAACAGGAAACGTAAGAGACTAGGCGGACATTAGATTTTACATATAGTAAAATGGGTTTCTTCAGTAGTATTGGAAACTTCTTTCGAAATGTTGGAAGAGGTATATGGAATGGAATAAAAACCGTAGGAAGAGGAATTTGGAACGGTGTCAAAAATATTGGTAAAAGGGTAGGTCAGTTTGTTGGTATTATACCTAAAGACCCTGAACCAGAAGAGCAAGCTCCTGTTATACAACAGCCTGAACCTGCACCACAGTCTAGTTGGCAACCAAATCCAACACCTCAACCGTATTAAAAAATTATATTTTACCGTTCGATAGTAGTTGTATATGAAACTAAGTTCTAAGTAAAACGCATGGTATAATGGAATTATTCTTTTTCTTCCATCTGTAGTAAACCATACTTGAAAGTCTGAAATACTTCCACTTGGTGGTTCGTATAACTTTGTAGGTTTTTCGTAAAAGTCATTTGCCAAGCATAAGAAAGAGTTTTGGGCGCCAGAAAATGAAGCATGAACAATAATAGCAGCTGGGTCGAAAACATCTTTAAATAAATATGGTTCATCTCTTGCATATCGACTGTAAATATTTGCTAAAGGAAGTTCGACTTTCTGATTTAACATTCTTTGCAAATAATACATGACATTGCAGTGAATTCTGTATATATTTGTTCGTCTTTCTTTGGATTGTCTTCGTAGATTTGAAATGACACTTGTGAATTTTGTTTGTCATATACAATTCTCACATAAAGTGTGCTCTCGGTATTTGCATATTCATCAGCATATTTTGCATAACATGAATTTATTTTATCTTCTATATTTTTTAACGCAGTCTGTAGAGAAGATGAAAGGTCAACTTGTATTAGCTCAATTTCTTCCCACATTTTTCGTTTCCCTTCAGATATATAATCTATATGAAACCTTACAATAAATGGAAAACTTTTATCTTCTACAGACACAAACTTTACTCTTCGAAAGCCAATAGCTTTTGTGACAGATGGGTCTTAACCATCTTAACGGGTAGTCAAAACGATAGCCTTCATGCTTTACGGTCTCTGTCTCAAACTTTTGACCGACATTCGTAAAAAGTTCATCTAATGGTTTAGTTGTAGCAACTCTTGAATTTTCTTTTTCTATTGGAAGCATATTTTATCTAGAATAAAAATGTCAAATGAAACAGCGTCTATGAGAGAAATACAACACAACCGACAACTCATTATGCAAGCTCTAAATAAGAACACAACAAACTTTTCAAACTATTCTAAGATATCTGAGTCATTGAAAGAAGGAAACTTAAAACTGACATTAAACCCAATGACAGATGAGTTTCTGTTTCAAGACAATAAGAACCATACTGTCTGTATAAATCCAACAAAAGGAACTTTAAACGAGAAACCTATAAATGAACTTCTTTTGAAAGCAGATGTTGGCAACAAAGCTGACAAAGAATATGTAGACGATGCAATAGCAAAAGAAGAAGAAAGAGCTAACAAAGCTTATGCAACAAAAGAACATACTCATCCTGAACTAGCAGACAAAACATATGTTGACAATAAAATGTCAAGTGAAGTGACAAGAGCTGAAAACGAATATTCTAAAAAGACTCATACACATTCTATATCTGAAATAACAAACTTACAAGAAACCTTAAACAGGAAAAGTGACGTTGGACATACACATACCATTGCAAATATTGCAAACTTACAAGAAACCTTAAACAGGAAAAGTGACGTTGGACATACACATACATCTTCTGAAATAACAGACTTAAACGTTAGCCTTGAAAATAAAGCAGATAAAACATATGTCAATGAAATTACCAAAGTTGCTAGGAACAAAAAATATTGAAACTATGTTGGTGACTTTTCTGTCAATGAAGAAAACAAATATTTTAGATGGCAGTTGGTACAGTCCTTAGAAAATGGTACACGTATAAACTCATTCCGAAAAATAACAATGAAATGTATGTAAGCTATAAAAAGAACGATGGTACACAAGTTAAAGTTCCATTAGACAACAACTGCTACTTAAACTTATATGGAGACGAACAAAAGAAATATTTAAGAGTTTATGAAATGACAGATATGGCATTGCCTGACCCAGCTCCAGCCATTATTATGACTATGGAGATGACGTCAGAACACCACATGTAGATGAACAAAAGCTAACATATATTTAGATTTTTATAGATATAAAAGATATAATGCAATAGAAAAAACGAGAATAGTATACTATTATGAAGATGACAGAAATAAATATTATAGTCAAGACTTTACCTACCCTGAAAACATAAGATTATATTATAAAAAATATTCTGACACAAACCAGAAGAAACCTGAAATAGTTGCACTATATTTTAAGTTCAAAAGAGACAATCCTATAATGTCTCATATGTTTGATTTAATGAACCCAGTAGGTTCTATTATCATCTATGGAAGCAGAGGTCCTCAAGTAATGTTTGGTGTTGGGGCATGGGAACAAATAGTCGACAGGTTTTTGTATTGTGCAAACTCTTCAAAAAACAGGTGGAAGTAAACGATTTCAGGTGAAAATTTACCTGCACACAGTCACTACATAGATTTAAGTACATCTCAAGCAGGGGCATAAGCATAGATATTGGGATTGGTCAGGAATGACAAAAGGTAAAGGATATGATGTTAAAGACGACGTTAAGTTTGCTATAAATTGTTACTGGGATGACACTCAGGGAGAAGGAAACCATACACATTTCGTTTCAGGATATACACAAACAACGGGACAAAGTAAAGAATACAGTACATGACAGTTTACGCATGGTATAGAATTGCTTAGTCGTCATTTTCAACTTCTCTTTAGCATATTCGTCAGGAGTTGTCTTATATTTGTTAGGAACTGTCTTTGAAAGTATACCACCTTGAACTTTGACAAGTTTGAAACGAGGTCTGACAATAGTCGTTTTATCTTCTGCTTGCAGTGTGTACATTTTGCCATGTTTGCCTAAAACTTCATAATATTCTCTTGTATACTTTCTTCTATTTTTACGAACACGAATGTGAGTACCTGTCGGGTTCCCATTGTTGTCATAGTCAATAGTATTTTCATATGGGTCGCGTTTAGGTATTTCTATTTTTACTTTGTCACCTTTCTTAAGTTTGAAGCCCGGCATTCTTTCTTGTTTGTCTCTTTTGACTAAATTATTAAATATATAGTCTTTCTCTAAGTCAGGGTTGTTTTTCATTTCTTCGGGGGAGTGGTTTCCCAAACCTTTTTGTTTACGGCTATTGTAAATATTTAAAACTTGTCTCATCTTTGCCATGGAGAAGTGTCTATACTTGTCGTCATATGACATTTCATTTGCTTCACCACCTTGTGGTTGGTTTAAGTCTCTTAACATTTTTATACAACCGTCAATGACACCAAGAGCAGAATGGTTTTGGTCGACAATGAAATATTGGTTTACATTTTTTGAACGCAGATAGTTTTTTACATCATCTGATTTGAAAGAACTTTCACAGTCAGATGTCAGTTTTGTTGGATGGTATTTGTCAACGAATATTGTCAAAGCAGTTTTCACATCTAAAATATTTTTGGACCATAATGGTATGGCTTCACAGTATCTTGTGTTTTGACCGACAAATATTAGCCAGTATGGTGGTCCATCTTCTCTATACCTCGGAATGTTTTCCAAGATATCCATAAACCAAGCATTTGGTGTTGAACTAAAGATTTTTATCATGAGTGCTTTCTTTGTTGCTTTAGAAACATAGGGGTCCTTGTTTGGATTCGTCATTTTTTACCCTGTAAGAAATGGGTTTATTTGGCATTAGCAGGAGTTGCATCCAGATTTTTGCCCGCAGTTGGAACAATAGCCAGAGGTGTATTTGGAGTTGGAAGAAAGATTTTGAGTACATTAGGTATACTTAAAGAGAAAGCACAACCTATTATACAAACTGTACAGAAAGGTTGGGATGTAGCACGAGATGCAGCAAATCTTATTCCAAATCCTGAAACAAGAGGAAAAGTTCAAGGATGGATGGACAATGTAGGAAGACAAGCAGGAAACTATTATAACAAAGCAAATGACTACTATAACCAAGCAGGACACTATATGGACCAAGGTGAAAGATTCTTTAACAGAGGATATAACCATGCACAACAGTGGGTAAACAATAACCAACCTCAACCGCCTCAAACGTGGGGAATGTAAAATTTTTTACTGAGATGAAATGAACAATACAGCATTGAGACAAATGGGTTCAAGATGGATTTGTCGGCTTCCAGCAGTTACACCACGTGTTTGTCAAGTTCTTCCTATACCTCAGGAAGTTTTAGACCGACTTAAAAAACCTAAACAACCAGTTGAAAACAAACCAAACTAAATTTTTTACTGAGATGAAATGACCGAAGAAGTTGAAACGGTAGATTTGACACCACAAACAAAAAGTTCAGAACCATTGTCAAAACCTGTCAAAGAACTTACAGATGAAGAGAAAAATTCAATAATAGAAAGTGCCAGGTCTGGAAATACAAACCCTAACTACAAAGTCACTTTTCATAGAAATGGAACGGCAAGTATCTCAAAAAAGAAACAGACTCTCACAAATAAAATATTGAAGTCTGAAGGAGCTTTCGAGACAACAGATGGAAAAGTTTACTTCACTGACAAACAGTTCATTATAGAACATCTCATTGACTTAGAGTCGAAATATTCTAAACTTTACAACAAACACAAAAAGTTGAAAGGAAAACAAAAACAGATGGCATATGATATTTACGAAGATACTAACGACACAACCATACCTGCAAGTGAGGTAAAGTCAGAGGAACCAAAAAGTGACGAAAAACCAATAGAAGAAGGTGAGCCAAAAACTGAAGATAAACCAAAACCAAAGTTTAGTTTGGAAACTACTAAAACAAGCCAACCTTCATTAGCTGGTATGGGTTGGCGTCAAAGGCTTATGGCAGCAAGTGCTTATGTTAAGTAAAGAAAAAAATATTTTTTTATTTTTATAAAAAATGCCTCCGTATAGAATGGACAGAAGGTCTGCTAGAATAAAAGCAGAGTTAGAAAGATATGGTTGGAGAGTTTCGAAGAAGTTTAAATATAGGAAGGGAAGACCCATAAAAGTCTATGACAAATTGTCTGGTCTTCGCTACGAAATGGATTTGGAAACAGCACGTGCCAATTATCCAAACAGACTAGAGAGGTTAGAAGAAGAACGTCTTATGAACTTGCCTTTCAATGTTAGTGAACCTCAAGTTGAAGGACACGACGGCTTTGCCAGATTCTACTGGAAACATGACGAACAATTGCATCCTTTGAGAAGGAAAAAAGGAAAAGGTGAAGACGCACATGCTCCCATGGAAAGAACAAGATATGCATATGAGAAGTATCGTGAAGTTAGAAGTCAAATTACATCTGGTCGAACCTTTACAGTAAACTTTGACGAAGGAAAGAACAAAGAAGGCTTCATGGGTGTACTTGCTGCAATTCAAGACGGAAATAAGAAAGGATACAATCTCAGACTAACCGTAACAGATTTAGATGGTCATATATACTATGCAAATGGCAATGTCACAACAGCTGCAAAACTTCTTGACGCTTTCAAGACTACAAAGAGAGAACAAATGGTTGACTCCGACTCAGACATTTTGAATGCAATTGAAGGAATTGCAAGTGTCAAGTTCGAATGGTACCAACCTAACCCTCAAGCAGTCAGACAACTTGTTTGTTAGATGAGAAATATGAAGTAAAAACGTTTACTTTTAAAACAGTATATTTTTACATATATTAAATGTTTCAGGTTGAAAAACAAAGAACAAAAGTAGCAGATACAAAACCGTTAGACTATATCTATACAAATGCCGGTAGGACTATTTCAGATGAAGAAATTTCATCCCGTTCATACAAGTTTGACTATCCAATTCGTTGGCTTCAAAGTCCTTCAGATGCAAAGGCAATAGGATTTAGAAGAGTTTTGTTTTCAAATAGAACGAACGCATTTATGTTCGCAGTAGATTTTCATGGGCAGTATAAAGGTGATGATGGTCTAATAGACAAATTTGACGAAATGAGAATCTTTACAGTTCGTTCAGACGAAAGTCTTGAGAAGACTCTAAATGACTTTCAAACTCAAATAAACAAATACTATTGGGAATTTCAAGAAAAATACGACTCTTTACTAAACGGAACGTACTATCTGAAACTAGAATATGACAAGATGAACTCCACAGTTTCATTTCAAAAGATTGAAATTAACCCTCCAAGAGATACACAGTTTTTATTTTGGCAAGTAGACAAACGTTCTTGGGCACAATTTCTTCGGTTACTAAACCAGAACGAACCATTACCACCTGACGGTCCGTTTAAATTTATACGCCCACCAACAGATTTGACAGTTTATAGAAACGTGTTTGACCCTCAAAATGTTATGTGTCATGCAAGTTTCAGTTCAAGCAACAATAGTTTTCTTTGTATCGGTAAGGACTTTTATGACTTTGCTTCTAAATTCTACGAACCACCTAGTAACAGTTTCTCTGACTTTCAAGTCT